GGATCTGGTGGAAGGCACGCTTCAAGTCGATCTTCGAGAAGATTGTCTTGCCATGAAGTTTGTGGTGGAAGTCCTGGACATGCGGAATAGGGTACCTGTCGGGTTTGGTGACGAGGTTCAGGGCTCTGTAGTCGCCACACACCCTCCAGTCGCCGAATGATGGCTTAAGGACCATGTGAAGAGGCGATGCCCAGAGACTCTTTGAAGGACGAATAATGCCGTCTTGCAGTAGTCTGTTGAATTCCGCCTTGGCTGCGTTCAGGAGCTTAGGGCACAGGCGGCGGGGGCGTGAGAGACTGGATGTCCTTTGGTCTCGATGTGGTGGAAAATTCCCGACGTAGGTGGTGGGGTTGTCCGCGGCCGCCAGGCACGCAGCCGCGCACTCGGTAAATATTCTGTCTGCGGTTGCGTAGAGTTCAGGTGTCGTCGAGTAATCTACTGCGGACAGGATGGTACGTACTTGTGTGGGGAGCTTTTGTGCGTGAAGCTGGCGCAGGATAGAGTCGGGAAGTCTGTCTGTGTGCCGGGAGTTCAGCCTACACATCTCCTCCCAGAGAAGTCCCGGAGTTGAGTTTCCAAGGGAGATAGAAGATAGGTTCTGCAGGAGACTGAGGCGGGTCCGTCGGTAATGCGTTTTTAAGGCGTCCCGCAGGGTGGCGAATTTGTTGTCCTCTGGAGGGTTGGAAATAGTCCGTGATACATGCGTGGCGACTTCTGTGGGCACTGGGCAAGGAAGAGAGCAAGGCGCCGTACTTTTGCTCGTCAGTAGCTTGTGAGCCGATGAGGATTGCTTCCACATGATCTAACCAGTCCTTGACGTTGTGGTTGAAAGTCGGTAGAGAGATCCGTCCGTCCTTTCTTGCGGAAGTGTATCACACGGTCGTGAGATGGTGTCGAAGTGGGGTAGCACTTGGTGCGGTTGGTGTCGTCGTGTCGTAGTGGGGTAGCACGTGGTGCGGGTGGTGTTGTTGTGGAGGAGTGGGGTAGCACGTGGTGCAGGTAAGGCGGTTGGCCTAGGCTGGCAGCAGGCAGGACGATCTTCTTAGCTCCAGGAGTCAGGCAGCAGAAAGGAGTGTAGTGTTCACGGCTCCAGGGGTCACCATTTGTAGCGTACTGTCGTGGCAGGTTGAGGGTCTCTTATTTGGCCTCACAACATACCTACATGAAATATATCCAACACTCAGGATTGAGGTAGAAATAGAAAATCAAAATGTGTTTCTCGTATATATATTGTTGCACAGCACAGTGTTAAAGAGATACTAAGTCGGGCGAAGCTTGCTCAGGGTTCCTGTAGGGCGAGGAGCTTTCATAAAAGAAAATAAGGAGTCTGCAATAGGCCGGTTAGCCTGTGCATGGCAGCTCCTGTCGAGAGTTACTACCACTCTCTATCATCCATGAATCTATCCAGCCTCCTTTTGAAACTTTCCAGCGATCCAGCACTTACTACAAAGTTGCTAAGCTTGTTCCACTCGTCCACCACCCTATTTGTGAACCAGTTCCTTCCTATCTCCCTCCTAAACCTAAACTTATCCAACTTAAATCCGTTGTTCTGAGTCCTATCCTGCTCTGCTTGGATATTATAAGAACTTTATCTATATCACCTTTATTGATTCCTTTCACCCATGTAAATATTTCTATCATATCTCCCCGCACTCTTCGTCTTTCTTGGGAATGCAAGTTTAGTTTCTTTAACCTATCCTGATTTGGAAGGTTTCTAAGTCCCGTAATCATTTTCGTCATTCTCCGCTGCACCGACTCTAGTGAATTGATATCCATTCTATAATTAGGGCACCAGAACTGAACCGCATAATCGAGGTGCTGCCTGACTCGCGCAAGATATAGTTGCAATAAGACCTATGCACTCTTATTACTTACACTTCTAGATATACAACCCAATACTCTGTTTGCCTTATTTCAAACATTAACGCACTGTTTTTTAGGTCGTAGGTCCGGGCTTACAAGTACCCCTAGGTCTCTTTCACAAGTCGACTTCTCCAGGTTGATGTTGTTAAGGCTGTATACATTGACAGTATTTGTTCTTCCAATATTAAGTACGCTGCACTTGCTAGTGTTGAATTTCATTTGCCATTTTTCAGACCACCCCTGCAGTTTATTTAGATCCTCCTGTAATGCATTTGCATCCTGCCCTGAATTAATCTGCTGCCCTATTTTGGTGTCATCTGCAAACTTGCTTATGTCATCCGCAAACTTCCTGAGGGAGCGTGTGTATGGAGCTGTTGAGAGATGTTGCTTGCTGGTGGCGGTAAGTAGAAAGAGGTCGTGAAGGCCAGGTGAGGTCTTATATAACCGCGGTAGGCGTGGCTTGATGGTAGGCCCCTGTGTTCGGCGTCGCTGGTTACCTTGTGGGGTACGGTTGTTTGGTTCACACTCAGGATGGAATGGAGAAAGGAAACTCACAATGTGCTCTCTGTATACATATTGTATTGGATGTACAATGCAGCTTGGTGCTGGGAAGGCAGCATGGTTACAAGCGTTGAGTAGAGAGAGCTGGTTGGCGAGGGTGCTCAGAGGAGGACCAGCTTGTGGGTCGCCATGCTCGCCGGTGTGAGCGAGGGCCGCCAGGCAGGAGGAGGTGTTGCTTGCTGGTTGGTATAGGTAGAAAGAGGAGTGGTCACCACGAGGTCAGGTCTTTTATAGCGGAGGTAGGCGTGGCTTAATAATTGACCTCCGTCATGTAAGGCGGCGCTGCTTGACCTAGACCACGAGGCATACACTGGGGAATTCGGAGGGTCGGCTACTCAGCGACACACGGCGTTTGTAGGGAAGGACTCTGTGGGGTTCAAGATGTTTGGTTCACACTCAGGATGGAATGGAGAAAGGAAACTGACAATGTTCTCTCTGTATACATGTTGTATTGGATGTACAATGCAGCTTGGTGCTGGGAAGGCAGCATGGTTACAAGCATGATGTAGAGAGAGCTGGTTGGTGAGGACGCTCAGAGGAGGACCAGCCTGTGGGTCGCCATGCTCGCCGGGGAGAGCGAGGACCGCCAGGCAGGCGGAGGAGGAGCGAGGGCCGCCAGGCTGGGCGGAGGAGTTGCTGGCTGCGGCTGTAGGTAGAAAGAGACAGGTCACCACGAGGTCAGGTCTTAAATAGCGGGGGTTGGCGTGGCTCAGTAGTTGACCCCCGCTCTGTGATGTATGGCGGCGCTGGTTGACCTAGACCACGAGGCATACACTGGGGAATTGGTGGGGTCGGCTACTCAGCGACAAACAGCGTTTGTAGGGTAGAAATCCACTACAATACTCCCCCTTCCCTCCAGGCGGTGTAGGAGACTTGGTGTCTGCAGGGTTGCATAGCACATGTGAGGCAGAACGGGCGGTGCATGCCACATGTGAGACAACGGCGATGGCGTGGATGAGCCGGTCGCTGGGGACAACTGTCTAGATACACAATATCTGTGGGAGAAGAGAGGGAGAATAAGGGTGTGTGGAGGCGATTAATGTTGTGCTTCCCTCACGGCAGGTACACAGTCGTAAGATGCGCCTGCTGGGGTGTGCGGGCCTGGGTCAGGAGCAGGGGCTACGTCAGCAGAAGCAGATGAGGGCTCGTGACAGCAGCTGGGTCCACAATAGCAGCAGGGTGCAGGACATTAGCAGGGAGTACCTGAGGGAGAAAAGAGGGGTGTGTGGGTCCGCACTCAGGAACAGGGGCCACGTCAGGGGGTACTGCTGGGTCGGCGTCTGAGGCAGGACGGGTGTGCTGGGGTCGGTAGGACGTGGTGCTTGGGGCAGGAAGAGGAGCTGGTGTCTGCTTAGAGAAGCAGTGCTGCTCTAGGGTGTCTAACCTGCGGTGTAGAGACAGTAGTTGTAGAGCCGATGAGAGCTGCTTCTGTGTGGATAAGCCAGTCTTCCATGTTGCTTGAAGACTGGAAGCGTGATCAGTTTCTCCTCCATCCTGTGTGAGTGCGAATCTCCGGGAGTCACCATTGTGGGGATGATATGTTTGTGTTCACACTCAGGATGGGGTGGAGAAAGGAAACTGACAATGTGCTCTCTATATACATGTTGTATTGGATGTACAATGCAGCTTGGTGCTGGGAAGGCAGCATGGTTACAAGCGTTGAGTAGAGAGAGCTGGTTGGTGAGGACGCTCAGAGAAGGACAGCTTGTGGGTCGCCATGCTCGCCGGGGAGAGAGGACCCCCAGGCAGGCGGAGGAGGAGCGAGGGCCGCCAAGCAGCGGAGGAGGAGGAGGTGTGTTGCTGGCTGGTTGGTGAAGGTAGAAAGAGACAGGTCACCACGAGGTCAGGTCTTAAATAGCGGGGGGTAGGCGTGGCTCAGTAGTTGACCCCTGCACTGTGATGTATGGCGGCGCTGGTTGACCTAGACCACGAGGCCTACACTGAGGAATTGGTGGGGTCGGCTACTCAGCGACAAACCGCGTTTGTAGGGTAGAAATCCACTACAAGCCCATACAAAGAGAACTGACAACTGGCCACATACTGTACAGTAGTACCTGTCCCTGTAGTTGTAGTAGTAGTAGTGTTTTTAATGTCATTCGTCTTTTTCATATTATTATTATTATTAGTAGTAGTATTATTATTAATGGTAGTGTTATTACTTTAATTCTAATTCTCTAATTCTTATCATTAGTATATCAATATTAGTAATGCAGGCTAGATCGAGTTGTTCCGCCTAATTGTTCGCTGTTCAGGTGATGGTCGCTTTAACAATATGCCACAAGTCTTTCCCTCAATAAAGTTTAAAAATATGAAGGAGAATATCAAAATAATATATATGTCTGTTAAAAAATAAAAAATTACCGAACCTAGCTAAAAAAAAGTACTTTAAAATCATTAGGATAGGGAAGATTAAACCGTGTTAAAATAAGAGGAGTAAAAAAGTGAAATAGCACAAAATTGGGATATATAGGTATATAAATATTATTTTAAAATATATATAATGAGTTAAATAAAAAAAAACGTATATTAGTGGTAAAATGCTAAAAATATATAAAAGAAGGTAATTATTGTTGGGTTGGTGCGGTTGTTGTCAGAAGGAACAACATTAACACACGCGGTGAACTGACTCTTGTCTACTGTGATGTTCTGTGTACTCTATTTTAATTCCTTTCTTTAAATCTGTTGAATTTGTTTATTCTTAATATTAGATATCTACCGTCGGCCTTTAAAGCTATGGGGAGAAAATGGAAGATGTCCAAGAAGAGAGGAGCAGAGAACCGGGTTGAGGTGAGATAAGTTTCTTCTTGTTGATCTTAAACAAAATATGGAAACAGTAGAGTCATTGTGTTGATACTGTAGCAGTCTCAATATAGGGTGGAAATTTAATGTTTAACTCTTTTAGGGTATTTAAAGAGCTCTATAAAATTCTTTCAAGTACTGCCAGGTATAAGTGGTAAAATTATCATTTGGGTCATCCACCTATTAGGAACCTGAAATTCTGGCTCAATGTATTTACCTTAGATATCCAACCTAACCTAACCTAGGTAATTTTTACTTAAGGACATGAGTCCCTAGGGGTTGACCAATATGTTTTTCCAGGGGTGCTGGACAACTCGTACCTGTGAATATTGGGTGACACATAATCAAGTCATTATGTTACTCATACTGGTCTTGTTTCTGTGCGGTCCGACTAATTACCCAAATGTAGCCAAATATAGCCGGAATGAAGTCAAATAATGGTCCTACATGAATAAATCAGACTGCTAATCACTTCTCGACTAGTATTTGGTGTCAGAAAGTCACAAAAAATTGGAAAACTTACTTTAATCTGAGTTAATAGATCGCGTGCATGTACCGACGGAGCGAGGAATTACCCAAATGTAGCCAAATGTAGCCACAATGAAGTCAAATGATGGTCGTACAAGCGTAATTCGGGCCGTGAATCACTTCTCGATTATTATTTGGTGTCATAAAGTAAAAAAAAATTGGTAAACTTAATTTAATCCGAGTTGTGTTGTGTTAGGTTAGGTTAGGTTAGGTAAGGTACATGCACTTGATCTATTAACTCAGATTAAATTAAGTTTACCAATTTTTTGTGACTTCGTGACACCAAATACTAGTCGAGGTTAGGTTAGGTACATGCACTCGATCTATTAACTCAGATTAAATTAAGTTTACCAATTTTTTGTGACTTTGTGACACCAAATACTTGTCGAGAAGTGATTGGCAGTCCGATTTATTCATCTAGGACCATTATTTGACTTCATTGCGACTACATTTGGGTAATTCCTCGCTCCGTCGGTACATGCACGCGATCTATTAACTCAGATTAAAGTAAGTTTTCCAATTTTTTGTGACTTTCTGACACCAAATACTAGTCGAGAAGTGATTAGCAGTCTGATTTATTCATGTAGGACCATTATTTGACTTCATTCCGGCTATATTTGGCTACATTTGGGTACATTTGGGTAATTAGTCGGACCCTTTCTGTGTGGTCGTGACTTAAACAAATCTATCCAGAGTATCATTAACATACAATAATATAACTAATTGTATATGCGTTGGCCAATATTCTCACTTCGTTCTTTTATATCCTTATTACTACTGTATTTCATTCTTGACGTTGACATCAGAATACGAAATTCCTGACGATGTCACGATGCCTGCATTACATTTCCCTATTTCACTGCAATTTCCTACAAGATTTACATAATCTACTTTTGTAATCATAGATAAAGCTAAAATGCATGGTATATATACTGATAAGAATGGACTATCTCTTGAATTGGGTGTAAGTAATCTTGGGTATGAGATGACCCTAACCCATTTTCCAGTGTACTGTATTTTGGTGTATTTTCAGCGAATCTGACCTTCATTTTTGTCGGAAACTTATGGTTTTTGCCCCACCTTTATGAATTTGATTGCTGTGCAGTTTACAGCAGAAGCAAAAAGTTGCATCAACCTTCTTGGAGTATATACACTAAGCCATCATCTTTCATATATTTCCCCATTTGGCAATCTTTGCATGTAAAAGTCTTCTGAAAAGTGTTGGTTTTCACCATTTTTTTGGAAACACATAATTTTCACTTGAAACCTTAACAGGTCCCTTTTCTACCAAAATATCAATTGTCGTAGTGTCCAGTAAATGTGGCCAGTTGGCTGGATCACACAGATCTTCATCAGCACGCCCGTTAGCTTAGGTAGAACTGTCCATTTTAAAAGCCTTAGTATTTTTTCAGTACTCTCCTCTTCCTCAGCTTCAATATGATCCACATTATCACCATCATAGTTGTTCAGGTCCTTTTTTAGCACAAGTTTCTGGTGTTTTTTTTTTAAAGCACTTATTTTTCTAGGGAATCTTTCATTAACACTTCGATTTCTTCTCTCTTCCTTTTCTTCTGCCTTTTCTCTGCACCTAAGATGTATTTTCTGTATCTGTCTCTATCCCTGCTGGCCATGGTATACCGGTAATAAAAAACGAGGGAAGTGTATGATATTAAAATAATGTACAGGGTGTCCATAAATGATTACCCTAAAAACAGCATGCTCTCATGTTTTAATCAGGGTAATCATTTACGGACACCCTATAGATTAGCAATTTCACAAAACACAAATCATAGTCAACTGGAGGTTCAGAGTTTCGACAATAAGGACAGGTGACCGCTGTCAGCGTCCTCACTCCTCTTCGACAGAGACCACAGTAAAGAATGACATGTCAGCAGATGCACTGCCTAACTGTCACAAATCCTTCAGGTGGTCTCCTGAATCTGGGTGATAAGGTGAGGTCAGCTTTACTCGGTCACTAATTTTGGTGTTGGATGAGGTAAGGGCCGTGGGGCCCCCCACAAGTGCGGGGCCCGTGGTGGTCGCACTGGTTGCCATACCCTAGGGACGCCCTGCCCTTACTATCATCCAAAGAACATCTGTGGGAAAAATTAGAAAATCAAACAACTCCTGGTGTTGGCCATCTGCTCCACCTTTACCAAGATAATTACTGTAATGTGAAGTGAACCCATGAACTCTGTGTTGTTGATCAAACAAAAAATGTAGTGCTGGATCTCTTGGCTGTGTATGAGGGTTTCAGGAGGGAAAAATTTTTTAAATTTATATTATGAGGAACTTATTCCTCTTTTGTTTTATTGGACTTTTCATGAAGTAAGAAAGTTGCTAGTACAGGTGTGTATTACTGTAGCTACCTTGTTATTCTTCTGTAGACAATTTGGTAAAAGTGGAGGTGACAGTTAGCACCAGAAATAACTTATGGAATTGAACCAAAATTTCTGGAGATACTATTTGCATGATACTGAACACAAAAATGGAAGCAAAAATGCACCGAATCTATTAGAACCTGACCTTATCTTAACTAACCTACCTAACTTAACTTTCTAACCTCTGCATTGTCTTTCAATTTGCTTACTATAATCCAAACAACATCTCTAGAAGAAAATGATTGAATTCAGTCCAATACAAGTCATAATAAGCACACCAGACAACACCTTCGTTTGTCTCTTGACACGTAAACAAAGACTGGATGCTTCCATATAGCAGATGATGTGACCTAAACCATAGCTGACCTGTGATGTGATCAGTAGCAGATGAAGTTATTTAACTATGCCTGAGTAGATTTAATACAGTACTGTACTTTACTTAAGTAAGTTTCTTCCTTCCTCACTGGATTTCCTATTTTTTTCTCTTAAACAAACATACTGTATTAGTGAAGATCACAAATGAAAATTATGAAAAATTAAGAGGCTACGTTCTTGTTAACTTTTACCACTATATCTGGTACAATTACACGTCGTTGTTAAAGTACATAAATCCTTTTGTACATACAGTACAGTATAAATATTTGAGTACTGTTTTTCTTTTCAGCGCCCCAAAAAGGAGAGGCCTTCAACCAATTATGAAGAACTAGTGCGAGAGAATAAAAATTTTGAAACATTTTATAAGGTAATGTCTGAGCTAATGTATTAAGGTGACAGCTACTTGTAGTTCTTCCTAATGTGCTAAGATGCTACAAACTGTAATTACATAATAAGCAAGACATTCCTAACTCTTCTGGGAGGGGGGGGGGTGGTTAGGGTTTGACCCCAGGGTTTATGGGTTGTTCAGGCCCCCAGTTGGGTCTAGGGGCTCTGGTCTAGTGTGGGGTCCTGGAGGTTAAGCCTCCCTCAGAACCTACATCATGGTTAAGTATTTTGGCAGATAAGTTACCTAAAAATGGTACTACAGCAATAAAGTTATTGTATAATAAAAAAAAAAATTTTAGTTTCATGTCAGAAAATTCTTTGGGTGGTTTGCATTTTTATGGTTTATTGGGAAAAGTGTAAATTGAAATCACCTAAATTGTCTCTCAGGGTTTATGCTTTAATTCAAGCTACTTCAAAGTACATGTACTATCTTATTTGTAAAATAATTGTTGTAATGTTGACTAGACACTGCAGACTAAAGCTGGTAAAGCTACTGGTTTATTTCAGATTTTACAGAACAATCAAATATTTTAGCCATTTTCTTGCCCTTTCTTCACTTGTTAGGCTCAAAAGATTGTCCCAGAGGAGGAATGGGAGGCATTCATAACCTGTATGAAGGAGAATCTCCCAGCTGCCTTCCGTCTTACTGGGTCAAAGAACATGGCTTGTGCTTTGCTGCAGGTCATGAAAAAAACGTTTTTCGAGCCTCTTTCCCAGCTTGTCCCACCAGAGCTTACCCAAGAGGAGCTGGATACTGGAGAGGAGCCAGTGAAGCCTCTAAAGCCTGTCTGTTTACCATGGTAATGATAACCTTGATATTTAATAAAAAATTATTACTCTGCTATGTAGTATAAACTAGAGGGTGATAATTAGTACATAGTGAAGCCCAAGTATGTGATATAGGATAATCCCTACTGTGTAGTACAGTATACAAATTTGTATAATGTTAGATGGATTGTAGTGATTTTTCCAATCTCATGATAAGTTTAGGCAAACTTTTATAGTTTTTCAAAATAAATTAGGCTGCTACATGTTAAAGAGTTCTTTTACCTAGTTTCTGTGTAATAAATTACTGTAATGATTGTTTATGAGACCTTAGCTTACACTCTAGAGAAATACAACACATAAAACAGTAAGTAGATGCCCACGTGGACACACCCTCCAGTGACAGTAAGATCTGACCCAGTAGAGGTCACGGACAAGGTACCGGAGTTAAACCGGCATTATGACCGTGTTACTCAAGAAGCCAGTACACCTGTCACCTGACTAGAAACGCCAGATTAGTGACGACGTCTTCCGGCTCGTGACCGCCGATATAAAGGCCCTGCAGCTCCCTCCTAAAAACATTAGCATTCGGATCATTATTGTAACAGGGGAGGGGTCATCGGCTCCTCCCCAGCACTGCGTCTTCAGCTAGTAGAGTCTCCCATAGGAGACTTAGTCCAGCAGCACCTGCTGTGCCTTCCTTAGGTCACACATGAGTCATTGTCAGAGCTATCCATAGGGTGAGTTACTTACGGTGGGAAGTGTACCGTTTCATGTCTGTTGTCCGAGAGTCATTGTATAATAATATAAATATAATGGTCTATTAATGTGTCTGTGTCATTGAGTTAACACATATATAGCTTTACTTAGAGTTGGTGTTTGGAAAATTCCCCCTAAGAATATATAATAAGAGTTAAATAACTAATCGGCCACACTACCAAACCTTCCTCACTTTACGTTGCTACAACTATAACTTCTACCTGCAGGTATACCGTCTACACGTAGTTCCCACCCTCATTACATTACAATAGGTAAAGAAATCTCTTAAAACTTTCTTTAGTCTTAGGATGCTGACCACTAAAGATATGAGCTAATAACATCATCCTTCTGTACAGGTATCCAGATAACCTGGCATGGCAGCTGAACTTAACACGACGTAATATCCGTCGATGTGAGGCATACTGGCAGTTACATCAGTTTCTCATCTCAGAAACTGAGACTGGCAACATTTCCCGTCAGGAGGCAGTCAGCATGATCCCCCCACTGGTCTTAGATGTTCAGCCACATCATAAGGTAATGTAGGCACTGGTTTCTCAGTCAGTGTTATATAAGACACACTGCATAGGGAGAAGTAGGGCTATCTTATTTTAGTCAGTATAAAGAAGTATAGCTATCTTATCTCAGTTAGTGATATACTATATATACAGTGGCCCCTCGGTTAACAAATGCCTCGGTTAACGAAATTTCGGTTAACGAACTGCCTCCCATAAGATTCTTAAATTCGGTTAACGAACAAAAATTCGGTTAACGAATTTCTTACGAACTGACCTCAACATGTTTTCACTTGCACTGGCCGGTCAACCAGCTTTAGTATTAGTCCGCCAATACATTAATCGGTTCTAGGGTTTAAATTCCTTACTATTTTAGTAAATATCAAGAAGTTAATACTATTCAATAATTTTAAAAGTTTAATATTCAATTTTTTAGTCATTTTAACAATTATTGAACATAATTGAAGGTAAAGTGACTAGTTTAATGCACGGCATCCAGCCTCTTAACACAGCAAACAGGCGTTAGTCTCTCTCTGTTTTCACTGGAGGTAACATCTTGCTTGAGACTCTCTTCAACTAAACGCTTTTTTTCTGTGTTTCCAATCAAATTATTGGTCATTTTGAAATATATTTTACATATTGACAATATATAATGCAGTGCAGTGTTGATTTAAAGAAAATAATCTTGAAATACACCAAGAGAACTAAAATTTTATGGGTGAAATGGTGCCATGGGGTGACTTCTCTTCCACCCCAATGCCTTCTCTTCTTCCTTCTCCTCCACCCCCATTCTAATTCCCATCATCATCATCATCATCCAGGAGCCTTCTACATACACACCTCAAAGTAAGTGAACTTTTCTACCATTTTTGTTGAATTTAGGCAATTTTCGGTGAGCTGGAACCAATTACCCAAAAACCCATTGAAACAATGGTTTCGGTTAACGAATTTTTCGGTTAACGAACAACCTGCTGGAACGGATTGTGTTCGTTAACCGAGGGACCACTATAGGATATAGCTACAGGCACGTGTCCACTTGAGAGTAAAGTGCTGTCGACAGCATTCCTATCAAGTGGATTTAGTTCTGAGAGTAATTGTCAGATAGTTCATATCTACTGTCAGACAGCTACTGCGAGTTTGCTGTCATGTGGACACGTGCTAGCCCGAAGCTCTCACGGTAATTCTCGGCTACACGAACCAAGTTTGCAGTCTGACAGTGCTTTCGGAAGGTGAAACATGGCTTACTGGACTCGGGAGAAAACTACTGCAACAGAGAAAAGAAATCCAAAATCATACCTGACATAAGCAAGAAAATTAATGTTACGAAGTCATTAATTCTTCAAAAACTCCACAATTTAAGAAGCCGAGCACAGTACACGCACCTCTCGTTTTACGAGGGGTTACATTCATGAAAACTACCGCTTAATTAAAAAATGCGTAAATTAAACATAATTTTCCCATAAGAATACATGTAAATGGTACAGGTTACGGGAACCATCATATACCACACAGGGTACGAACAGTACTCTCACTTAAACCAAGCATGTGGCCAACCTCCGACACACGCTTTCATCTCTGAAGGTGGGTGATCACATTTAATTTCACGCCCATTGCGATTATTTTTCGTGCCTTTTTAGCTTCAGGCGCCTCAGAAGAGGCAGATGGACGTTTTTCTAGGCATGCTCAATGGGGAAAACAGTGTTTAACACTGAAAAGGTACGTGATAACAACACAATGCAAATGAGAGCACAGAGAAAAAGTAGTGCTGGTTAGGTTAGGAAGGACGTCATCACAGTTGTTGTACAGAATACTTCATTATCATCATTATCTTCATCATTAGAGTAGTAATAAAGTTTATTATTACATTATTATAATAATTATTATTATTAATATTAATAATATTAAAATTGTTGATGTTGATATGACTGATACTTTATAGTAATAACTTACAAGCACCTCACCAGGCATCACACGCGACTCCACTGCCAGGTGAATACGCGCGGCAAATTTAAACTGTTTTGAGCACGTTATTTAAAAAAAAAAGGTGCACGTAAATTAGCTTTTGGTAATATTGAACAATCGCGTTATTCCAAAAACGCTTAAATCAAACGCATGTAAAATACGAGTTACCTGTACAGTAAGTCTTCGCTTAACGTCGGGGGTTCCTAAAATTGTGAAGTTATACGAAACAAAGTTAAGCGGATCAATTTTCCCCATAAGAAATAGATAAAATACTGGAGTTACATTCCTAAGCCTCCCTTTGCCCCATGAAATACCTAACATATACAGAAAATCATTGCCATATCTATAGAAAATAGTGAATACTTATACAACTACTAAGTTTGTATTGGTACTCACCGATGGGCGGAGGTGGTAGAGCGAGAGTGTGGTGGGTAGTGAAGCAGAGGAGGCGGAGGGGAGGAGGAGTGTGGTGAGTCACTGAGACTCTGCACCGAGCCGAGAGAGCGTAGCTCGACCAGACGAGAGAGGGTGATGCGTGGTAGAAAGTAGTCCGTGATGATGCAAAACGACGTAATATGGGATCATCCGGATGTTAAATGAATTTTTGGTCTCTAAAGTTTAGCGACGTAGTACCGAAACAACGTTAAGCGAGATGATGTTAAGCGTGGACTTAATGTATATTTGTTATTCAAATTGCGGTATCATAATTGTTAATGGCTGAACCAAAAACAGAAATACCTGTACTGTTTAAAGCCAAAGTTTTTTTTTCTTTACTATTCATGAAAAAAAATTTATTTACTTTATTAAAAGTACCAATGCACTATTTACCACACTTAAATATAGGCCTATTATATAAAATATTTTAAAGGTTTTGCACGAACTTAAAACGATTAAAAAAAAAGAAGAGTGGAAGTAGCACCGATGAAGTCTACACAAGTAATTGGGTGTACTTTTCAGCTCTAAAATTCCCACAGCCATGTCTTGCAGCGAAGCCCCTCAACATCTAATTTGGTAAGAGATTAAATAATAGTGCACAAAATCATATAAATATTTATTTTTAACCTAATATATTATGTACAGTATGTGTAAATATTAATATGTTGAGTTGGACAGTGAGCTGCATTAAGCCTAGCCACCCTAGTGAATAAGCATGCAGTAGTAAAATGAAGAATGACAGGGACTATAACTGCAACAAGCTTCCTGTCTCATTTTGTAGCCATTGCTCCCAACTGATTGAGAGCTCTAGTTTGGGTGGACACACCACTGAGTGTACTCTCCTTTCGAAAGCTCTAACTGGCAGAAATTTTCTCTCGTGTGGACACACACAAGGAGAGAAATATTGACAGTAACTATCAAGAGTCTGCTCCCAAGTGGACCCATGCCTTAATGTAGGTAAAGAGGTGCTGTACATAGATCTGGAGATAAAGGGGGAAAACTAATTGTTTACACATCAATTTGTTAACAGGTTCTGGATATGTGTGCTGCACCAGGAAGCAAAACGGCCCAGCTCATTGAGTTTCTTCATAGCGCTGAGGAGGAATTATCAGCAACCATACCTCCAGGGATTGTGGTTGCCAATGATGCTGATAATCGCCGCTGTTACATGTTGACACATCAGGCCAAACGTCTACAGAGCCCTGCAATAATGATCACTAATCATGATGCTGCTTTTATGCCAAATATCCACCATACACGAAATGGTAATCAAACACACTGCTTTGAAATGTCCATTTTGAGTTAGACTTGTTAAGATTTGACTGTTTCTTCTTCCTTTGTTAATTATGTTTTGTTAGTAAGATTATACAGTATTGTTATAACAACAGAATGATAGTTACTTTGGAAGTTGTCAAGAGGCTATGGCTCATCATTTCAGATGGTAGTGTGGGGCCCATAAAATTTGACCGGATACTCTGTGATGTCCCGTGCTCAGGGGACGGCACCATGCGCAAAAATTTTGATGTATGGGCCAAATGGAATCCTGTGAATGGAGCAAATCTTCACGGGTAAGTTTCTGAAAAGCTCTGTTTAAAATAATACAGGTTGTACCTCTCTAGTCCGGCAACCTCGGGACCTGACCGGTGCCGGACCATGGAAATTCACCCCTTTCCTGGATAGATAGTGACTTGTGCTTATGCTTGGAAGCACTAGCACCACTTTCTCTGCATCATGGTCTCTTTAAAGACATATTGAAGGGTTAAATGTCGTATAGTAGCTTTTCAAATTTCTCTAGTTTTTAATTCAACGTATTTTATTGGAACACAAAAAATAAAAAATTTTACGGCGGAAACTTGAATTTCGACGGGTTTGAACGGCCCGCGAACGTGCAGACGACGTGCATAATCGTGTAAACAGCGTCATTTCTCTTATGTACAAAAGATTCATTATTGTTTATTACTGAATGTCTTTTTTATTGAATTAATGTTTATGTGTGCAAAATGAGCAATACAATTCATTAATAATATGTAGAATATTAAAACACACGAGGAAATGACACAGCATTGTTTTCGTTCATTACAAAACCAGTGACTGACTGGTTCTACATATAAAACTGAAGAAAATAAGACCTTGGTTGTAGCTGTAGTAAAATTAATATGTTTGTTTTAAGTAATGTTATTTAATGTTAATAAATGGAACACTAGAAGTAGCTAACCGCTAATGGTAAAGAAATAAAGCGAGACGATTGGGAACGCCAATGTATGAACAGTAAGTGCGTACACGTGAAAACATATCGTCATTACTTTACATAAGAATATGAAAGCAACATTTATTTACTGTTCATATATATATTTTAATTAATGTTTCTGAATTTGTTTTTATTGAATTAATGTTTGTGCGTGCAAAATTAACAATACAATTTATTAATAATACGTGGAATATTAAAACACACTAGAAGACGAGACGGCTGCCGGCATTGTTTATGTTAAAGCTTACAAAACCAGTGACTGATTAGTTCTACATATAGAACTGAAGAAAATAAGACCCTGATTGTAGCTGTAGTAAAATTAATGTAAAAAAAAATAATATGGTTGTTTGAAGTACCTGTTATGTTATTTAATGTTAATAAATGGAACAATATAAGTAGCTCACCATTAATGGTAAAAAAAAGTGAGACTGCGCGTATGTAAGTGCGCACATGTGAAAACATATCGTCATTACTCTACATAAGAATATGAAAGCAACACTTATTTACTGCTCATATATATTGAAGGGTTAAATGTTGTACTCTGTATAGACAAGCAGAGAGAGAGAGAGAGAGAGAGAGAGCAGCCGAACTACCGGATGTAAACAAACCCTTAATTTCCCGCGGCTTTGTTGTTTTTTTTTTACGGGGATTAGCCCACCCGGGCATAGGTCACTGACCCACATTGGGGCCTGAGGGGCAACAATTTAATACTCCTGTAATAATAATAATAATAATAATAATTCAGATAAGTAAAAAAAAAAAAATGCCTATCTACCTATTGGACAAACTAAAATCGTTCCGGACCACGGGAGTTTCCGGACCACAGAAAGCCGGACTAGAGAGGTACAACCTGTATTATAAATATCATGCCCTTATTATTATTATTTCAGTAAAAGGAAGTTTATGAAAACAATTTTAGGAAGAAATTGGTTGTTTCTAAGTCAAGTAAGTGTGCATGCGTGCATGATCTTAAATGAATAATAAGTAATACTGTGCAGTATACAGAAACATTAGTGCTTCATTAGCCTCCCTATTGTACTGTCATGAACAAAAGTCCTGTCACCTCCCCTGCTGCTCCATGAATCCCGAGATTCAGACTTATGAATGCGAGGCATTTTTGGGCAGAATAATATATCAGTGTCTCTTGCTTAGAGTTCATGAGTCTGAATCTCGGGATTCATGGAGGAGTAGGAGAGGCGACGGGACTTTGTGTTTGTGATTGTGCATACAACAGGAATGGTCATAGACAATATACAGTAAACATCTGTACTTAATTTGATTATTTGTGAAGCATCTATTAGTTATCCATATGATGACTTCATCTTACTGTATTGCTTTGGAAATGTTAGAGATGCATTTTCTGAAAGTCTTTATCCAAATGCCTTGTCAGATTACAGTTGAGGATAGCTCGCCGGGGGCTGGAGATGCTGGCTGTTGGTGGACGTCTTGTTTACTCAACTTGCTCCCTCAATCCTCTGGAAGATGAAGCTGTCATCCAGAGGCTGCTCATTGAGGCTGATGGTTCTGTGCAGTTGGTCGATGTATCAAGTCAGTTACCAGGACTAAAGGTACATAATGACTGTGAGGTTTTATTTATGTAGTTCAGTAACGTGTATCCCTTTACTCATTTCTGTCATTCAATGAGATACTCTTATTAAATACTATGGTTTGTACAAAAGAAGTGAAGTGAAGTGTGAAAATCCTAAAAAACTAAATTTGAAAATATTACACCAGTAAAAATAATTGCATTCATTTTGTTGCAGATTATGCCGGGTCTAGAGGACTGGACGCTCATTAATCGAGAAATGGAGGTCGTAAAGTCTGTTGAGGAAATACCTGCCAAGAACACAAATCTCTTCAACAAGCACCTCTTTCCACCCACTCCTGAGAGTAGAGAAAAACTTGATCTTCATAAATGGTATGTGATGATGACCATAATTTTTTGTGGGTAACTCCCTTAATTTTTTTTGTGTACAATTGGGGAAAATGAACCTGCTACATGCCCAGTGATACCTTGTAATACCAGGGTCACCACATGTTACTGTGGCCACAAGTTTCAAAAACCAAGCATTGGTGAAATATTTTAGTCATTCTAAGTCAAAGGTGCTCAATAAACGGGCGTTGGTTCACCTATTTTTGGATGTAACATTTCCTTCTTAGAGATTCAGGGAGTATTAAATGTGGTGTAGATCATTTAAATGAAACTATCAGAACAGTTGGTCATCCTGCTCCACCTCCCTACCACCTACAGTGTCAACACATAAAACATCTTGTTCATACAGTTCACATTTATTTGTCTCAAGACCATGACACAGCCATTAATTTGTTATATGTTACTACAGTATGTAGTGCAGGGTCATAGATCAAATCATGCCTAATCTGTTTTCAAACAAACATACTGTCTGACTATGTTAACCATTTGGCTGCGGGAGGTTACCCGAAGCTGAATAAAATCATCTGGCGGTAGCCAGAATAAAATGGCAAGTGCGGGAAACGCAGCAAAAGGGTTAATAACATGATACAATATTACTTTAAAACAGGTTGTACCTATAATGAGACAAGCTCCCAAGAGAAGAGGATTACATATAAGTAGGAAGTATAGAGAGTAGGAATGTAAAGATAGGAAGGTTGGTAGCGTGGCTGTGATGTTATTTACTCTGCGTCAACACTCTTATCTTCTACGTCAATACACATATCTATTCTTCTCAAGGGACAACTTCTCAAACACCTCTTCGATACAACTATTTATAAATTCACTCAGTGACATGGACACATCAATATCATATTATATCGGGGGACTAACACATTACGTCTTACGTTACTCGACACTGACTTCTCGGACACAACATGAATGAATTCACTTCCCACAGTAGGTAACTCACCCTAGGAATCGTTCTGACAATGACTCACGTGTACCCTGACGTAGGCCCAGTGGTTGCTAGGCTGGGCTGCCTCCTATGGGAGGCTTCTGCTTAGCTGGTGACGTCGGGGAGTCTCCCCGACCTGGGGAGAGGACGAGCGTGACTCAGAATCTCCAGAGTAATGAGCGTCTCCTCAGAATTTTCAAATGACAACCAGAATCAGAATGAGAATGCCCGTGGACGGGACTGTAGGGCCTTTATATGGGGTCGGCCCAGCCGGCTTTTGACCTCTAACCAATTATCACTAAACTGGTTAGATCTGGACAGCGTGTTCAGGTGTGGTCATGACCAGGTGTCTTGGTCAGGTGAGGTCACCCGCTAATTCAAGTAATTAGCCGGCGAGGTCAAGTCCCTTGGGTCTTGGGGTGTGTCCACCTGGTATGTGGTGGTACCACGAGGTCTGTAGTGTACTTGCTGTTATATGTGATATACTTCTGGGCTGTAAGCTTTGGTCTGATATTCAATCTTTACATACCTCTCTAGTCCGGCATTGTGTGGTCCGGAACGATTTTAGTTTGCCCCTGGAGAAAATTAATTTGAGTCTGGTACTTTCGATGTTTGGCTAAATTTTGCCTTATTTACCCTACTTTTTTGGCGAATTACTACCTCTAATAAAGCAACATCCTAATAAACCAACAAAAATAACAGATAAAGTTAAATAAAAACTAAAAACAACACAGAAAAGGTTTTTATGTTCTACAGCTTCAGCTAGAGTTGAACCTGATGACTTGGCAACTTCGTCATCCGAGTAAAAACACACACAACAACATTGGCTGTCCTTATGTTTTCAACTTTACCACCACTGGTGGGTAGAATTTATGTTTTAAATTCAGAAACATGAATTAAAATATATATGAACAGAACAGTAAATAAGTGTTATTTTCATATTCTTATGTAGAGTAATGAAGATATGTTTTCACGTGCGCACTTACATATGCGATCTCACTTTTTTCTTTACCATTAATGGTTAGCTACTTATATTGTTACATTTATTAACATTAAATAACATTACTTCAAACAACCATATTAATTTTTTTTACATTAATTTTACTACAGCTACAACCAGGGTCTTATATTCTTCAGTTTTATATGTAGAACCAACTGGTCACTGGTTTTGTAAACATTAACGAAAACAATGCCGTCTCGTCTCCTCGTGTGTTTTAATATTCCAAAAATTATATTAATGAATTGTATTGTTCATTTTGCACGCAAAACATTAATTCAATCAAAAAGAAATTAAGTAATAAACAACAATGAGTCTTTATGTACATAAGAAAAATGACGTTGTTTACACGATTGTGCACGTCTGAACGTTGGCAGGCCGCTCAAACCCGTCGAAATTTTAAATTGTGTAGTGGGTTTTTTTTCCAAATAAAAAATGTTGAATTAAAAACTCGCAAAATTTGAGAACCTACTGTACAACATTTAACCCTTCAATATGTCTTCAAAGAGACCACGAAGCAGTGAAAGTGGTGCTAGTGCTTCCAAGCTTAAGCACAAGTCACTACTGTATCTACCCAGGAAAAGGGTGAATTTCCATGGTCCGGCACTGGTCAGGTCCCGAGGTTGCCGGACTAGAGAGGTACAACCTGTAACGTGGGAAAAAAATGTCAACGGGAGATAGGAAGATTTACGTGTGCAGTAAAACTTTGATAAATTGGACTTCAATACTGTATATTGGGAATCGCTTTTCTGGACTCTATGAGGTGCTCTGGTCACCAGAAATCCAGAAATATTAAAAGAAATAGGGAAGATTTAAAAAAATCGTATGAAAAGAACAACACTTGCTCACAAAATACTGTACAGTGATCTAATCAGATTTGCTATTGGCCTACTGAGAACTAAGACACTGAGTATATAAGCAGACTGGGGCTGATCAGGTGTTGCCGCATTCATCAAATTTATTTATTGATTTAGTATTTTATTCTCATATGATTGGCCTCTTTTGGTTCATGGTTCATCATGATTAATATAACATCTTCAATAATAGAGAAAAATACAATATGTAATTTGTAATGACTTGAAAATAGAAGGATAAGCTGTATCAGATGGTATTCACTCAGGATGCGTTCGTGGGAGAGCTTTCAGCAAACCATCTTACAACAGGGTCACTATAACACACTGTACAGGTATTGTATTTGATATAAACATACCTTCCTAATAACATATACAGGTTGTGCATCTCTAGTCCGGCAACCTCGAGACCTGACCGGTGCCAGACCATGGAAATTCACCCTTTTCCTGGATAGATAGTGACTTGGCTTGGAAGCACTAGCACCACTTTCTCTGCTTCAGGGTCTCTTTGAAGACATATTGAAGGGTTAAATGTCGTACAGTAGCTTCTCAAATTTCGCGAGTTTTTAATTCGATGTTTTCTATTTGAACACACAAAAAACAACACATTTAAAAATTTTGACGGCGGAAACTCGAATTTCGACGGGTTTGAACGGCCCACCAACGTTCAGACGACGTGCACAATCGTGTAAACAGCGTCATTTCTCTTATGTACAAAAGATTCATTATTTTTTACAACTGAAAGTCTTTTTGATTGAATTAATGTTTGTGTGTGCAAAATGAGGAATACAATTCATTAATAATACGTAGAATATTAAAACACGAGGAAATGACACAGCATTGTTTTCGTTCATTACAAAACCAGTGACTGACTGGTTCTACATATAAAACTGAAGAAAATAAGACCTTGGTTGTAGCTGTAGTAAAATTAATATGGTTGTATTAAGTAATGTTATTTAATGTTAATAAATGGAACAATAGAAGTAGCTAACGATAATGGTAAAGAAAAAAGAGAGATTGCGTATGTAAGTGCGCACACGTGAAAACATATCGTCATTACTTTACATAAGAATATGAAAGCAACACTTATTTACTGTTCATATATATTTTAATTAATGTTTCTGAATTTGTTTTTATTGAATTAATGTTTGTTTTTGCAAAATTAACAATACAATTTATTAATAATACGTGGAATATTAAAACACACGATGAGACGAGACGGCTGCCGGCATTGTCTATGTTAAAGCTTACAAAACCAGTGACTGATTGGTTCTACATATAGAACTGAAGAAAATAAGACCCTGATTGTAGCTGTAGTAAAATTAATGTAAAAAAATTAATATGGTTGTTTGAAGTACCTGTAATGTTATTTAATGGTAAAAAGAAAAGTGAGACTGCGCGTATGTAAGTGCGCACATGTGAAAACATATCGTCATTATGTCATTACTCTACATAAGAATATGAAAGCAACACTTATTTACTGCTCATATATATTGAAGGGTTAAATGTTGTACTCTGTACAGTATAGACAAGCAGAGAGAGAGAGAGCGCAGCCGAATGTGGGTCACTGACCCACATTGGGGCCTGAGGGGCAAAAATTTAATACTCCTGTAATAATAATAATTCAGATAAAAAGAAAAAAGAAAAAAAAAAGAGCTGCCTATCTACCTACTATTGGACAAACTAAAATCGTTCCGGACCACGGGAGTTTCCGGACCACAGAAAGCCGGACTAGAGAGGTACAACCTGTACTACCTTTGAGTATTTTATGATGACTCAATTTGGCTACTTGTACACATAGACAACTGATTAATGAATAAACCAGGGTATATTCAGATGCATAATAGTGTACACAACAATATTACTTATTAAGTGATGATAAATACACTACAGGAGTATTTATAAAGTGGTGATAAATATACTACTGTACTGTACTGTACTAGTTGACTAAATGTTGAAGACAGATGTTGGGGTAAGCAAGAGTGGTGAAGGAGCTAAGCCCGATCAGCTGTTCGACCATTGGTGTTGAGTGGGATTCTCTTTTCATGAAAGATGGTGTTTTCTTCGCATGATATTATATCAACCTGGCACCAAATGAACCTAAATTATAAGAGAATTATGGTGACAGTGCATAAAGATGTGTAAAGGGACCTTGGGAGAGGGAGCCACCCACCTGCGCTATCCCCTCCCCAGTACCTTTATTCATAAGACAAATTCTGTGGTTACTGACATATAACACTTAACAGTAAATAACAATCATCTCGGTGAAAACAGTTTTTAACAACCAGACTTAAGTATCATTTTCAACCCAGAGAGTTCTGCTTCATATTTTTGTTATTGTTGATGTAATAGTGTTTTAATAACCGTGTTATACACTTAAAGACCTTAGTTGTTGAAGTGCATTAATAACATAACGACTGATTTGCTTTAAATAGTTCAGATAAGCAGTGTTATCACCCCCGCCCCCCCGCCATAAATTCACTCTTTTCCAGACTTTCTCATTTTTCGGACTGGTGTCTGCCCCAATTAGTCTGATTTATCGAGCTTTTACTGTATGTACTCTATTACCATAATTACTGAGTCACCTTGTTTATGCATATAGTTGTCAGATTTCTTCATGTTGTATTCCATAGTGTAAGAATCCTGCCCCATCACCAAGACACTGGAGGTTTCTTTGTAGCAGTGCTGGAAAAGGTCAAAGCTCTACCTGGTGAGAAGATCTACTTTGAGAAGGACCAGCCAGTAGATCAGAACCAGTTGGCAACAAACACTCAGCGCATCAGACAGGTAGGAATTATTTCTGCCTTTCTCTGTTATTTCATTGCATAATCCTCTGTAAGTTCATTTTCTACATCATATGTATGTGTTTGGACTTGAATTTTTTCTTTTAAGTTCTAATCTTCTAATAATGTAGGAAGTCTGGAACCAAGAGCATCAAATATTGCCTTCATTTGTAGTCATTCATTCTTTCTAACTTCCATGACTGATTTTTTGTATAATGTTCCTCTTTTATGATGCGTCAGTGCAATCCAATGTAAGAATTGATTTGTTTTTACATTTAAGCTTTTCTTGCCAACAGCCTCCAAAAAAAAAGCGACGGCAAGGTTTCAAAGAGGAGCCTTACTATTACTTCGAGGAAGACGAGGTTGTCTGGCCTGGAATTGATGCCTTTTATGGTGTCCGCAAAGAGGTGGGTGCCGGCCTTTTTCTGAGTCGGACCAAGGAAGGAAAGAAACGGAATATCTACTTCACTAACAGTCTCATCAAGGACATCGTTGCTCAGAATCAAGACCACATTAAGGCAAGTTGGAAAGAGAACTGTTTGAGAATTGTAAATCAGGGAGATAATATTTTGAGATCTTCTAAGTCAAAAAGAGAAAATTTTGATATCTCGCATACACCAGCTTGCATAAAGAGCATATTAGTGGCATATGGTGAAAACAGATTAATTAATTGTAATTTTGAAAAATGTGAAAATGGAGTATTAGAGGTATTGTTTACAGTGGTCCCTCGGTTAATGAACGCTTCGGTTAATGAATTACTTTCCATAAAAATCGTCAATTCGGTTAACGAACAAAAATTTGATTTACGAAATTCTTACAAAAACATGTCAACATATTTTGGCTTGCTCATCGGCTGGTAGATTAGTCCGTCAATACAGTAATCGGTTCTAGGGCTTACATTAATTTCCCTTGGAGTAGTTATCAAGAAGGTTGTGCTATTCAATATTTTTCCAAGTTTTATATAAAAATTATTAGTCATTTTAACACTTATTTAACGTAATTGCAGTACAGGGAACTAGTTTTTGGTGTGCCCATCAGCCACTTCACTCACCCACCAAGGCATCTGTTTGTGTCTGTTCAGTGGAGGAATAATCTTGCTTGTGGGTTTCGTGAACACAAGAGTATTTTTACGTTTTTACAGTACAATCATTGGTCATTCTGAAATTTATTTAACATATTGATAATATATAGCACAGTGCAGTGTTGATTTAAATAAAATAATCTTCAATTATAGCTAGTGAACTTAAAATTTTAGTGGTGAAATTACTATATTGAATCCAGCATGGGTCCAAAGAAATCTAGAAAGGCAATTTCAATTCAAGTGAAACAGGAGATCATTAAGAAACATGAAGAAGGCATTAGAACAAATGTGCTTAGTAAAGAATATGGCATGTTGGCATCAACTGTGTCGACAATTCTTGCACAGAAAGACAAGTTCAAAGAAGTGAAAGTGAGAGACAAATCTACCAGAGTGTTTAAAGGTAGATCATTAATAGCAGAAACAGAGAGGTTACTTCTTATTTCGATTAGGGAAAAACAAATGAAAGGAGATTCAGTTTCTACTGAATTTATTTGTGAAAGAGCCAGGGAAATTTACAAATATTTGAAGGAAGAGCAACCTAGTTCTTCTGATACTGAGTTTGAAGAGTTTAGGGCCAGCTGGTTCGAGAAATTTAAGAAAAGAAGTGACATTTTTAGTGTTGTTAGGCATGGTGAAGCTGCCAGTGCAGATAAAGAAGGAGCAGCAAAATTTGTAGTGGAGTTTAAGGAACTGGTGGATGAAGAAAATTATCTTCCACAGCAAGTGTTCAATGTGGATGAAACCGGGCCCAAAAGAACATTCATCACCAGAGATAAAGCCTCTTTACCTGGGCATAAACCCATGAAGGACCGTCTCACTCTATTGCGTGGTGCCAGTGTTTCAGGGGATTTCCGACTGAAGCCTATGCTTGTCTACCACTCTGAAAACCCCAGGGTGTTCAAGCGACAAAAGGTGGTAAGAGGACAACTTGGAATTTATTGGAAGTCCAACTGTAAGGCATGGGTAACAAGACAGCTCTTTAATGAATGGGCTGTTGAGTTGTTTTGCCCTTCTGTGAAGAGCTACCTAACCACCAATAAACTCCCTTTAAAGGCTCTTCTCCTTCTGGATAATGCCCCTGGTCATGACCCTGAACTTGCCAGCACTTTGGAGGCTCAATTTGACTTTGTCAAAGTGTTGGTTTTGCCTCCCAACACTACATAAATTATGCAGCCAATGGACCAGAATGTAATCAACTTCAAGAAGCTGTACATGAAGAAAATGTTCAGAAGGTGTCATCAGGCAACTTCTACTGATCCTGATCTAACACTGTCACAGTTCTGGAAGATGCAATACAACATCCTGGAAGCTGTAAAATTGTTTGTGTCATGGCAAGAAGTCTCCATTCGATCTCTGAATTCTGCATGGAATGCACTGTGGCCATCAGCAGTCCATGATTTTGAGGGATTTGAGGAAGAAACAGAGCTGGACAAGGAGATTGTGTCCATTGGTCATTTAATGGGACTCGAAGTGGAGGAGGATGATGTGGAAGAGCTTGTGATGTCTCATGAGCAGGAACTTACTCCTGAAGACTTGAAGCAACTGGATGAGATGTTGGAAGCTGACAGTGGTGAGGAGGAAAGGGAAAGTGATGACCATATGTCCTCTTCCGATTTAAAAGATGTTGTTCACTACTGGGAGATGTTCAGGAAACTGGCTTCAAGGCACCCAGATGTGGAAACAACAGAACCTATTTTGTGTAATGTTGAGGACAAAGTGGTCTCCTTCAAAAATCAGTTGATGATGAGGAGAAATGCCCCACAACCAAAAATTGACAGTTTCTTCTCTAAAAGGCAGCGGGAGAAAGATGCTACCCCTCAGCCTTCCACTTCAAAAAGGAGAGAGGATATTCCTGTTGGAGAATCTGTCAGTCCAGAGGTTCCTGACATTATTATGGAAGGTGACTCGCCTTCCAAGAAGCAGTAAAATGCTTCTCCTCCACCCCCACTTCCTTCTCTTCTCCCTTTTCCACCTCCCACTTCAAATTCACATCAGCATCATCAACCAGGAGCCTTCTACATACACACCTCAAAGTAAGTGTACGTTACTGCATTTTTTTTATATTTTTTTTTATTTATTTATTTTTTACTTTGTATGTAATTTTCGGTGAGCTGGAACCAATTACCCTCTGGAACGAATTGTGTTAGTTAGCCTAGGGACCACTGTATCTGGCTTATGTAATTATGTAGTAGTAGTGGTGAGAAATGTTGAATAGAAATTACTGTATAAAGAATTTTGTGATTTTATGAGGTGATTATGTTTCATAACTTGGAGCATATCACCCTTTTAAACAATCTGTTGAAAAAACAGCAAATCTCTCTTATATTATTTCACATATACAGTATTAGCCAAAGTGTTTCTTTAGGGGAAATAAACATTCTGTTAATTTATGAGAAGTTCACCAAACATGAAACAAGATAACCTGGTAAGCGAATACCTGTACCATATATCAATACAGTTTGTTCCAAGACTCCCTCGTAAATATATACCGTACCTAATAAATAGATATTTACACTTGCAGATCATCAACACTGGTGTCAAAGTTTTGGTGAGAAGTGACAACAAAGGTGCACCTTGTGACTTCAGGTTAGCTCAGGATGTAAGTCAGTTGGATTCCTTGCTTGTTTTGATTATTTTAATTGTTATTATTTTCAAATGACCTTTGAAGTGTTGAACATGCCTGTATGAGAAAGACCACAAATCTCAATAGAACATTCTTTTTTTCCTCTTTTGCAGGGTTCCCAAGTGTTGTTGCCGCTCATCACAAACCGTAAGATCTCTGTGACTGGAAATGACCTGGTGATAATGCTACAGAATGATGATATGGAAATGCCACCAGAAATTGTGACACTAGATCCTACAACACAGGAACAGTGTGCAGGTCTCTGTAAGTAACACTTGTCTATCTACTTGCATTGTTTAGAAATACTAAGGCACTGTATTGGGTTAGAGCTTTTGGGGGAATTAAATTCTTGTTACTATTGTAAATTAATATTTTTAACCCCTACGCCCCGGGCTAGGGTGCCGCTGGCTGTATCCCCCACTCGGGGTAAATTGAGAAAAATCTATTTTTCCAAAAATAATTTTTAACCTTTTTAAATAATAAAACAATAAAAGAGAAGTAAGAAAAACTATATATTGACCCTCTAGAAACTTCCCCGGGGCAGCAGTGGCGAGGGAGAAAAGGGGACAGTGTTGTTTTGATGGCTAACGCTCGTGGTCACTATGCACTTAGCAGCCATTTTCTGCTTGCCTTTGTGTCCAGGATGGCCAGTAATGCATATATTTACCGATCATAATACTTATTTCCTATAAATAATTAATTTATAATATTTATTTACAATATTTTTCATAAAAGTGCTCGGCTACATACGCAGTCTGTTGCCAGGCTGTCTGGCTGTCTTTGTGTTTGGGAGAGCAAGTAATTCATATAAATAATTATCAGAATAATAGTTCCACAAATAAATACATTTATAACATAATCATAGCATTATTTTCCAGTAATACAGTACTACACTACAACACAACTGCACTACTTTTAGCAATATTACTTTGATACAACATGATAAAATGGACAAACAATGAAAATGAAACAAACACAAGTAGGTACTTACATTCAGGAAGCTTCCCTGTGGCCGAGCTTATGGCGTGCCACGCAAATAGTCAACCCGATAACCCGCGCTGGGCATTTCGGAACGTCAACCGGGGTGTAGGGGTTCACTGTCTTATTTGAGGGTGAAAAAATACTTATGGGTGGTGGGTATTTAGCAATGTGTAGAGGCTAACTACTGAAGTTTATTCAACAGTATTAACTAGATTAATTACCAGATTTACAATTTTTTGACTGGGTCCTTAATGAGTAACAGTGTACACATTGTACAGTATATTTATATTTTTCTTGACTTTTCAGGTACAGGTGCTATTGCTTTCTTATACAAAGGAAATGACATGACCATTGAACTGGTTGGCTGGAAGGGAAACAAATCAGTGCGTGCATATGTGGCTAAGAATGACCGTATCCATTATCTCAGACTGCTGGGAGCTGACACGTCCAAGTATGAGAAAAATAAATTTGCAGAGCAGAGAGACCTAGAAGCCAAGAACAATAGTGAGGAAGATGTATCTATTGCAAGTAATAAAACTGTTGAAAGTGATGGTGAGAATGGACAAAGTATAGAGGACACTGCTGAAGTAATAGGTGAAAATAGCATTATTGAAAAGGTTGATGCAAATGGATCTGGAAGTATAGAATGTAAATGAGAAAAGTGCAGTTAAAGAAACCAGAACTTGGATTTTAATTGTACTATTGTATATAATTTTTGGTAAACTGACAATGTTTGAATAATTTTTAAGATGTGCTCTACATTATATTCATTAGATTCTTCATTACAGCATACTGAAACAAGTGACATTGTTGGACACTGTAGTGTTATGCACGTAACACTATTGGACACTGTAGTGTTATGCACGTAGCACTATTGGACACTGTAGTGTTATGCACGTAACACTAGTTTTAGTTTGTGGTAAAGAAGGGATTTAGCCATTTTAATATTGAAATAGTCAGTTTTGAGTAATAATGCTAAAAAGAATATTTTAATTATGAAATGAATGTATAAAGTAATGTTTCCTTTCTAAAAAAAAAATTGTGGTTGAAGTGACAAAAAAGCATCATATGAAATACTCCATTTTCTAGATTTTTATTACATTTTATACACAGCTTTCTTATATTTATGTGATTGAAGTTCAGTGCACCTGCACCTTTTTCACCCCAATTAGTAAAGAAGATTGAAAGAGTGGATAGTTGGTGGATAAAATGGTTAGTGAGTGAAAGGTGACAAAAAATGTAATTCAGAGAAAATTGCTGGGGATTATCAACTGGAAGACCGATTCACTATTTACACTTAACTTAGGTTGATACATGGAGTTTAATATCCTTGTTTTGTATTAAGTTAAATGCTTCATTATTGTTTGACACAGATGCAGTAAATGTATTACAAAAGTATTTGCATAATTTTCCTTAAGTGACTGTGCACTTGTTTTATTGACTTGTATCATAGAAAATGGGAAATATCTACTTTCCGGGAAAGTTGGTTATCTACTTTCCCGAAAAATAGATTATCTACTTTTTGGGGAAGTAGATTATAGACTTTTGGGGAAATATTACATAATGAATTTTTGTCATTTTTGTCTACCCTGCAAAAAATGAAATTCTCGTAAGGTCCGGACTTGTCGTTCCGGCACTTTTGGCGAACCGGCCAAAAAAGCATTTTTCGTAAGGTCCGGACATGAATTTTTGTCATATTTGGCAAACACGCAAAAAATGAAATGTTCATAAGGTCCGGACATGTCGTTCCGGCTCTTTTGGTGAACCGGCCAAAAAAGCATTTTTCGTAAGGTCCGGACATGAATTTTTGTCATTTTTGTCGACCCCGCAAAAAATGAAATTTTCGTAAGGTCCGGACATGAATTTTTGTCATATTTGGCAAAAAATTTTTTTTTTTTTTTTATATATAAAAATTTTTTTTTTAGAAATATTTTTTTTTTATATAAAAATATTTTTTTTTTATAAAATATTTTTATATATAAAAATTTTTTTTTTGTTTTTTATATAAAATTTTTTTTTTATAAAATTTTTTTATATAAAAATATTTTATTTTATCTAAAATTGTTGTTTTTATATAATTTTTTTTTATATAAAATTTTTTTTTATATATAAAAATATTTTTTTTATATAAAAATTGTTTATTTTTTTATATAAAATTTTTTTTCTATAAAAATTTTTTTTTTAATATAAAATTTTTTTTTATAAATTTTTTTTTATAATTTTTTTTTGTATATAAAAATATTTTTTTATATAAATTTTTTTTATATATAAAAATATTATTTTTTTTCTATAACATTTTTTTTTTTAATATAAAATTTTTTTTTATAAATTTTTTTTTGTATATAAAAATATTTTTTTATATAAATTTTTTTATATATAAAAATATTTTTTTTGTTATATAAAAATTTTTTTTTATATATATAAAATTATTTTTTTTTTATATAAAAAGAGTTTATTTTATTTGGTATATAAAAAATTTTTTATTATATAAATTTTATATAAAAATTTTTTTTTATATAAAATATTTTTTTTTATATATAATTTTTTTTTATATAAATTTTTTTTTTATATAAAAACATTTTTTTATATAAAAATTTTTTTTTATATAAATTTTTTTTTATATAAAAATATTTTTTTTATATAAAATTTGTTTTTTTATATAAAAAAATTTTTTTATATAAATTTATTTTTTATTTTTTATATAATTTTTTTTATATAACTTTTTTTATATAAAAAATATATATATATATATATATATATATATATATATATATATATATATATATATATATATATATATATATATATATATATATATATATATATATATATATATATATATATATATATAATTTTTTATATAAAAATATTTTTTTAAATTTTTTTTATAATTAAATTTTTTTTATATAAAATTTTTTTTATATAAATTTTTTTATATATAAATATTTTTTTATATAATTTTTTTTTATAAAATTTTTTTATAAAATAATTTTTTTATAAATTTTTGTTTATATAAAATATTTTTTATATAGAAATATTTATTTTTTTATATAAATTTTTCATATATAATTTTTGTTTTTATAAAAAATATTTTTTTATAGAAATTTTTTATATATATATAAAAATTATATAAAAATATTTTTTTTTTATAATTTTTTTTTATATAAAAATATTTTTTTAGAAATTTTTATAGTTTTTTATATAAAAAATATTTTTTATATATATATATTTTTTTTATATAAAATTTTTGTTTCTATATATAAAAAATTTTATATAAAATTTTTTTATATAAAAAATATTTTTTATACAAAATTTTTTTTATATAAAATTTAAAAATTTTTTTATATAAATTTTTTATATAAAAATATATTTGTTTATATAAATTTTTTTTTTATAAAAATATTTTTTTATATTTTTTATATTTTTATTTTTTAAAAATTTTTTATATAAATTTTTTGTATAAAATTTTTTTTTATATATAAAAATATTTTTTTTATATAAAATTTTTTTTATAAATTTTATAAATTTTTTGGGAATATAAAATTATTTTTTTTATATTAAAATATTTATTTTATTTTATATAAAAATTTTTTTTATTATATAAATTTTTTATATAAAATTTTTTTTATATATATAAAAATATTTTTTTTTAGAAAAATTTTTTATATAATTTTTTATATAAATTTTTTATATATAAAATTTTTGTTTATTTTATAAATTTTTTTTTTTTATGAAAATATTTTTTTATATAAAATTTTTTTTATATAAATTTTTTTTTATAAAATTTTTTTGGGAATATAAAATTATTTTTTATATAAAAATATTTATTTTATTTATATAAAAATTTTTTATTATATAAATTTTTTTTATATAAAATTTTTTTTATATATATAAAAATATTTTTTTATATAAAATTTTTTTTATATAATTTTTTATATAAATTTTTATATAAAATTTTTGTTTATTTTATAATTTTTTTTTATGAAAATATTTTTATATAAAATTTTTTTTTATATAAAATTTTTTTATATAAATTTATTTTTTATTTTATATAATTTTTTTATATAAAAATATTTTTTTTTATATATGTAACCGGTCGGAATTTACTGGACTTAATTTCACTTGACTTGGGTTATAAAAATTAATAGATGGTAATGGCAGGAAGCCCCTTTGAGAAAATCCCAACCAGCACAAGAACACAACTACTAAAAAAATGAATTATCCGTGACCGGAAGATAAGCGTCAGTGACTGGGATGAATGAGACACACTGTAAAATTTAGACACTTATATTCCTCAACACTACAAACACAATCCAATAATGGTAACCCGATATGACCTCTTAACCTAACTTAAAACACTACTGGGGAATAAAAGTTATATGATATAGAAATTATTAGAAACTCAGGCAACAATAAATTTGAAGTATTAAGAAATGTTGCTTGCACATATGAAACAGGCCTTAAGGGCTTTCTAAAATAATATCAGTCACTTAGGAAATGGTATTAAAAAATAGAAATTAATACTCTACAATGAATAGGCCTTAGGGCTTTCACAAAATACATCAGTCCCTGAAATGGTATAAAATTAAGTAAATACTCTACAATGAATAGGCCTTAAGGGCACTCAACAAATATATCACCCAACAGATGCACTTCCTAATACACTTAAACACTACTCTGGGGAACAAAGGTTATACCTGAGATCAGAATTATGGAGAAAAATTAGATGCATTAAAAGAATCAAATCACAGTATCACTCTGGTTCCATAATGACACAACATTCAAAACAATACATCAAAATTATTTAGGAACTATTAAACTACACACGTCAAGATAATATCAGTCGAAATGGTATTAACTACACCCGTAAAAGGAGATAAAATGTTCCTCTAAGTTTCTCCTAGGTCCTAGACTCACGGTCTCCGGTGTGACCATTAATTCTCAGATAGCCTCAGTGTACTCCCAGTGCGTCCATAAAGCGGAAGGGGTGAGCCAATCAGACCTTGTACAGTTGAAGGCTTTAGCTTCCGTTAGCAAGGGTTTCACTAAGCTGCTCGAGACATGTGGTGTTGTGAGCCGCGGTAGGGACTGATGACCCCAACGATCGTCCGTCGTCAGCTGGGCATCAGACGGCTAAATTTCCTCAAAGACCTCGATACCCCGCTAAACAGTGACAGGCCTACTCTGATCGGTCCAATGGCGACAATCGCCACCCTCAATCATCAACGGCAGTCTCAAACGGCAGTCAATCTCTCGCAGTCAAACTCCGGTCAACTCCGGTCAAGTGGGTTCTGACGGAAACCTGAAATGAACTCACTGTTAGCTCTAGTTTACTTTACCACTGCCCTATCTAACCCTGTCTGAGATCGAATGAGACTTACTTGTTATACTGCAATAGTGCAACCAGGTGACTAGGCCACGTGACTATTTCTGTGACGGACGCGCAGGGACGTCTTGTATGTCTGACTGCTCCCCGTGACTGAGGAGCCAGCGTCGCGTTCTCTCAGGCGTTGCTTAGGCCTACTGTCATATTTTCCGCCTAACTAATAACTCCTTGGGACACCCGTAACGTTATTCAGACGATAAACGATCTATAAAATTTCAAATTCAATAATAGTCCTTAACTTCATGAATCGCGTCATTATTATACGGCAAATTACATTTAATATCATATAGGCCTAGTTCCACCATCTCTCGCTATGAGCAGGAAGCGCTCTCTTCCTCCACGCTATGAACGCTCAGTGTTGCCAATGGCGGGGCATTCAATACTCTGAAATTTCTGAATATTATATAAATTATTTATTTTTTTATATAAAATATTTATTTTTTATTTTTTTATATAAATTTTTTTTATATAAAATTTTTTTATATATAAAAAATTTTTTTATATAAAATATATATTTCTTTTATATATTTTTTTTATATAAATATTTTTTTATATAAAAATATTTTATATATAAATTTTTTTTATATAAAATTTTTTTTTTTATATAAATTTTTTATATAAATTTTTTTTATATAAAATTTTTTTTTATATAAAAATATTTTTTATATAAATTTTTTTTATATAAATTTTTTAAAATTTTTTTATATAAAATTTTTTTCTAAAATTTTTTTTTATATATATTTATATAAATTTTTTATATAAAAATATTTTTTTATATAATTTTTTATTTTATATAAATTTTTTTTTATATAAATTTTTCTATAAAAATTGTTTTTATATATATATTTTAATATAATTTTATTTTTATATAAAAATTTTTTTAATATAAAATTTTTTTTTAATAAATTTTTTTTTATAAATTTTTTTTTTTTATATATAAAATATTTTTTATATAATTTTTTATAAATATATATTTTTTATATAAATGTTTTTTATATATAAAAATTTT